GCTATTTAACTACCATATAAGTTTCAAAACAGTCAGTCCACAGTAAAATTCACACAGCCTGCTTAAAGTTCTAGCTACTTTTCACGAACCGTTGTGACTTCCGTAAAAAGCACCTTCAGTCACCACCACGAGCACCGCCCACAGTCCCACTCTCCTTTTGCCCATTTAACCACAGCTGTCGTCGGTTTTTTGTCTGGCAGTGGCAGCAGATATGCGATCAAATTTCTAATTTGAGGCTGTATTACGTCGATTCTGGCACCCAACATCACAACAAGATGATATTTTAAGCTCCTTATGTAGCCGAATCTGCGCTGGTTTGAATGGGCCGCCTCCAGTTTGCCCTTTGTTTTGCTGCCTCCAGCTAGCGCTGTGATGTCGCTGACCCTAGTTACCTGTGGTTGGCCTGGCTGTGCGTCACTCAGAAAACAACAGGCTAATCAGAAGAGAGGCTCATGAATATTAATTAGACAGACCAAAATCGACCTGTTCTCAGCAGAGCTCCCGAGAAAGGAGCTGTAAAAATATATTGAGATGGTTTTTGGTACTTATACCGCAAATATATATTCTTAAGGACATCAAAACCTCAAATAAAACTCCAGAAAGGTGTACAATATGGGACCTTTAAGGTTCCTATGCAATTTTGTTTAAGCGTTATACCACAAACAGCCATCGGGTGTTTTTTTTGGATGCATTTTTCTGTCACAAATGTATCAATTTATCTCTCAATATTACTTCTATCACAAAATATGGAAATATGGAATCTTGAGACTCAGACCTTTCCAACGATATGTATTTTGTCAAGATTATGGAAAGTTTTGATTCTAAAAGACCGTAATACATTTGGAATATGACACCTCCTACTAAGGGGGAGGAGCCCGCTAAAAGATTTTAAAGTACCATTTCCTTGGTAAAGCAGTGTCCGATTTCAAAATGGTTTTCACAGGATGAATTTGGAGGTTTTAAGCTTTCAAATGATTTATAATTTATGATGATTACTAAAACATGTGATAGGGAAAAAGGAAGAGAAGAAGAACTCCTGTTATGATGTATATGTTTTGAGGTGCACTCTTGTCATAAATTAATCTATTACTGTCCTACATAATTTTAACAACAAACAGTGGTAAAATATCCGTTTAGGAGTCTTAGACCTTTCCAACAATATATAGTTTGTCATGATTAGATTAGGATTTAATTGTAATATATTGAAGTAAACTTAGGCGTCCCACTAGCGGCACTGTGGCAGTTAAGGGGTTAAATAATTTTCTTCTGCTCACTAAGCCTGCATTTATTTGATCCTAAATACAGCAAAAGCAGTAATATTGTGAAATATTTTACTATTTAAAATACCTGTTTTCTATGTGAATATCTCTTAAACTGTCATTTATTTCTGTGATCAAAGCTGAATTTTCAGCATCATTGCTCCAGTCTTCAGTGTCACATGATCCTTCAGAAATCATTCTAATATGCTGATTTGCTGCTCAATAAAAATTTATTATTGCTGTATTTAGGATCAAATAAATGCAGGCTTGGTGAGCAGAAGAGAATTCTTTAAAAAACATTCAAAATCTTACTGTTCAAAAATGTTTGACTGGTAGTGTATAGATATGTAGCATTGCATCTAGTTGTTTTGGATAAGAATAAAACGTCAGGTCCGACAATATCGTATCTTTTTGAAGTTAAATCTAGATTTATTCGCATTGGCCCATGGAAACCTCTATGAACACACTTGACTTGACTTGGGCAAAAAAATCGTGGGGGACGAATTTACATTTTATTAAAAAGTGTTTTTGTATTCTACACTCATTGTGCGCACACACATTAGGATAGGTTAGATGCCTGCCTCCAGATTCAACTACTCTCTTCTCCTCTTCTTCTCCTCCTGCCTGGCTCTTTGGCCAGCATCACTCACCGCAGAGCAAGCCTGTTCTTGATAAAGCTGCTGTGAAAACGTGGGAAAAGCCGACGAGGAAGAAGTTGGAGTGAAGCGATCTTTATATAGGCGGAGCAAAATAGGCTACTTCATCACTCCGTCTATAGCGCATTGTGATTGGAATGTTTACGCTGTCAATACAGGAGACAAACCAATGGGCCACTGGCTGCTCGCTGTCCCTGCGTGATGGTTTTCGGCAAAAAAAAACATTCTGTCAGCCCCTTAAGTGTGTCGGCCCACCGGGAAAATGCCCAGTATGCCCGATTACCAATCCAGCCCTGAACACAGTAAAATATGCCACTGTGTACTAAACATGCTAGAAATATGCTTAAACATGCTAGCAACACTTACTAAGTGCTAAAGCATGCTATTAATATCATGAAAGAGGGAGCTGTTGTAACTCATGCATACAATAACCAATCTGCCCCGAACTTCACATGTTTGATAAGAGTCCTGGCCTGAACACATCTTAAGGCCGTCCGATCTGCCCCAAACATCACATGTTTGATAAGAGTCCTGGCCTGAACACGTCTCAAGGCCAATATTCAGTTATAATCATAGCGCCACCTGTTGGCAGCATGAAATTTGGCACATATAAATGACTTTGACATATTCCTCCTATATTTACCACTTTAAAAGCATATTGCCCACTGTTCGCGGTTTTCCTATGGCCACCGGGTGGCGGTGAGCCCGGGTGCGAGGGCCCTTTCATCGTTGCTTGCAGCTTTAATTTTATATGCACTTTTTATTATTGGCATTGATGGTTCCATGAAGAACCTTAAACAGCTATAGAACTTTTCCATTGCTCAAAAGTTTGCATATAAAGTGGAAAACAGTTATTCAGATTATTCAAATGTTCTTCACACTAAGAAAGTAAAGGTTCTTTTAAAGACTGTTCAATTAAAGTTTCTTTGGAGAACCAAAAATTGTTCTTCTACATTGTAAAAAATTTATCATAGGTCTTGTCATTTTCATTTAAAATTAAGGTGATAATTAAAATAGTGTGCATATTTTATTTTTTTTTAAATGTGGTTCAGTGTTGTATAGAAAATATTGAGAACATTTCACTAATAAAAAAAGAGATATGTTTTCCTCTTTTTTAAGGAAACTTGAGCAGTTATGAGGTTTGAAGTGAGGAACTGATTAAGCTGATAAAATTAAGCAAAGAAGGCTACCTATTTATTTCAAGAGAATTAGCTCAATTATGCAGTTTTATTTTGGCAGTGATTGTAAGTTACCAGCATGCTTTGCATATGGCTGGATATGGAGGGTAAATATTTAAATTAACTGCTATTTTATGTGTTTTTGAGTGAAGGGAAACATCTGTTTATGTTTAATGTTCAGTTATGTTTGACATTTGAAAGAGTTTCTGTGAAGTTTCTTCAGAGCTTATGGTTAGGTTGTGGATAACTGCATGTACTAATACTATGAGGCATGATGCTTTGTTTAATAAGCAGCAGCCTTGCTAATGCCAGAGCAGTAACAAGTTTTTTCCTACTTGAGCTGTTAAGCTGTATATAGTTTTTAATTTTGTATAAGGTAACTCAAATAAGTCAAAACAGGCCTTACTCAAAATCACAAACTTTTGAGAATCAATTTAAAATAAATGAGCGCATTTCACTAATAATATTAAATTCATTGTGTCATAGATAAAAAAAAATGTAGGTGATGATTTATTCTGGTAGATTCCATTAAAGAAATCGAGCCTTAAAAACTACTCAAAAATATTATGTGTAATATTGTTACCGTACTTTTTTAAAGTATATAGCACATAACATTTTTACAGTGTATAGCACCACTGTAAAAATAAAACAACAACAACATTTTAAGTGCAGCTTAAGTGTTCTCAAATATCACTTAAGACTACGGGTTGTACTAATCCTATAGAGTTCCAAACATTTGATAAATATGGTCTAAGAGGTTTTTTTGGACAAGCATACAATCTGACCCTTGTATTCTTTAAATGTGCTTTACCTGCTTGGCTTCTTCCCCACAGTTCTCTGTGAAGGGAATCCCATCATGCCACACACCACACGAGAGTTCTTGGTGGTCCAGCCAGTGTTGCAGATGTGACCCCATCCTTCCTTAAACTTCACCTCTATCACTCCCTCCGTCACTGGCATACGGCCAGCATGGGCACCAGAGAGTGGACGCAGACGAATGTTCTCCATTCGGTTTTCATTCACCTGCATCTAAAACATAAATGCAGAACAGGTAAATTGGATGTAGAGCATATACAGGCTTTGAGATAAGTTTTATCAGTTTTTCATGTACATGCATGTTTGTGGTGAAGTCATCCAGTATGTTTTTCATATGCTTATAATAAGCCTTCGATATGTTTAACTAGCCAGCTACAATCTCCTATTCCATGGGTTTTTAATGAACGAGCCTGACTCTTTGGCTCATGCAGGACACGAGTCATCTCACATGAGGGTTTTGGATCTTTAACAGCCAAACCGCACCGTAGCTGTGCATTGGCTAGAACACAAACTCTCTCCACCATTTACTACACAAGCACTTCCAAATGTCTAGCCAGAACGGTCCACAATGTCTGCTGAGCACCTTGCCATAAGACCATCAACAGAAATTTGATTTTGGAGTCACAACCTAAGGCTGAACTGCAAGGCAAAGAAGTAGCAAACCACATCTATACCAGTTGGCCTTCTCATGGAAACATGGAAGTTTCCAAAAAAAAAAACTTACTGTAAAAGCTCTTGATTCTGCTTTGGAGTAATAATGCTGATTTTTTTTTTTGAGGGAATATGCTAATGATTATTCTTAAAGTTAGTGATCTAGTGTTTTTTGAAAATCTAGTCATTTTTGCTGTCAAACTAAAATGCTAAGTTAAAATCCATTTTATAAACATCTGCACGTGTGAATACTCATCATACAAACATTCAGACAATTGAAATGATGCCAAAGACTAAATGTCATTTAGTGAGTCTGCGCTCAGATATTTGTTTCTTTGTCTGCAAGTGTTTTAGGCTGTCTGTCTGTGTGTGTGTGTGTGTGTGTGTGTGTGTGTGTGTGTGTGTGTGTGTGTGTGTGTGTGTGGTTATGTCACAAGTCTACACTAGGAGTTAGGTAACTGACATCTAAAAACAGCAGAAGACAAAATGACATTCAGTTTGACATTCAGTTTCAAACGAAATTGCATTTCTTTGAATCAAATAGAGTGCAAAATATAATTACTTTGAGAAGGTCTTTGAAAAGAACATTCTTCTTGTGAGTCTAAGTTTTGAAAAACATTTGTAAATTTGGACGTGAAATCAGTCATTTTTACCATTCCAGTAAACTCTGACACATCTGTAGTGTAACGCAAACTGTTGAGTTTGCCAGAGGTTCGTCTGACACCCACTCATGTTCTCTGTGTTCCTTCTGCCTTCCGGACAAGAACACAGAGAAACTTGGCATCTAAACTGAGCAGCAGCACTTCTGCACGTACTCAGCCCTTCCATCTCTTCACTTCTCTTCTGCTGTTCAGTCTCTAATTCTCCAAGCTCTCGTATCTCTACATCTGTCTCTCTTTCTCTGGTGTGGTTCCAGCACACAAGCAGATCATTAGAGACTAATTTACAACAGAGCAAAGACTTTCAGTCGAAGCTGAGTGACATTGGCTGTGGACTTTCATTCTTTGCATGTGGATGAGGAAGAGAGAGTGAACATGGGAGGGGAAAGGGGCTGTCAAATGGAAAGAGAGATGAAAAATGAAGTAGGATAAAACAGGTGAAGAGATAAAAGGAGTGCATAAATGTGACAGAAAGTAAATGCATTTTAAACAAGGTGTCATACAGTTCTGGGTTGTGCAAGGTGGTTGCTTATTGATCCAGGACACAAAAACTCTTGCTTTGAAAACTAACAGCCCACCTCTCCTCAAGATGATAAGAAAACAAATTTGAAATGTAAAATCTCCCCAACTGATGGACAAGAAATCAAGTATGTTGAATATAAGCATTGCTCCTAAACACCATCTCAATAAGCATTTTCATATTTATCTTTTTTTTTAAGCAAAAGAGGAACAATTATTTTGAGAAAACCCACAGGCAAACACGACATCAGCAATAAAAACCAGTAAAAATGTGCTTTTGATTCTAAATGACTTGCATGCAGGCTGAGAGAGCTTTGTTATTGGATATGCAATTCTCAATCAGCATTGCGGCACTGCACATACAGGAGACTGTTAAATCAGATTTCATTGCTACATTAATATGATTTATTGATGTAATAGAGTGCTGCAAGAATGCCTTATTTTTGTGGGCCAGAAAAACCCAGAAACTAGTATTTTAGCACTTCTGGTTCCTTCATCTTGAAGTCAGTGGGGGTTTTTTTTATGGATTTTTGGTTAAATGCCTAAAATAAGGTCTGTGGTTATCACAAGCTCAAGATATTTTTTTTAATCTGACATAAAATACATCAGTAATACACCCTTGTGATCTTTTAAAGCCTTTACTTGTCTTGAAAAAGGCAGTTGCTAACAAGTGTCTAAATGGAACTGCAGAGGTTTTTGAGGACATTAAACATCACAAGTAAACTCATCTACTCACCACTCTACTTTCACAGCCTCATTGTGTTTATAACCAAGACCTTGCAAACTATTCTAACTCAAACTTTCATGCAAAACATTTTTTTAAAATCAAAACTGAAAGAGTTGTCAGGGGGTTAATGGTTGTGACGTTAAAGACATGTGAATGTAGTGTAGATCATTTATAGCCTATATTTAGTTTTTAACTTCAGACAATTGAATTTAGGCTTAAAAATTAATAAAAGTTGTGTTCTTTTGTGAAGATTTTTATGATAAACAAAACGTGTAAGAATCATGAACTTTTGTTGGTCACAAAATCATATTTTTTTGCTATGGAAAAGCCAATGGAAAAATCTTATTGGGTTTTTGTTGAGGGAACCAGGGTGATGCTAACATCCAAATATATCATCACTGCAGCACTCTAATGACATCAATGTTATTTTTTTTCTCTGTTTGCCAGAATCAGTGGGATTGCATTGGATGAAAGTGATCATTTACCTCAATGATGTTGGAATCTGCAAAGCCTGGAAGTCTCTCATCTTTACAAACCACCCCTGCGTCCTCCTGGTGCGTGCAGTCACTGTTCCCCCAGCCACGGGACACACATTTCTCTATGCTGTTTTCCGATCCTCCACACATGACATTATCCAGCCAGATTTTACCTGCAGATTTTTGACCAGCCAGGTTAGCTTACAACAGCTTTTCTACCTTTTTCTGAGAGTGAACTGTATAGAGAAAGCTGACTTTCAGATGTGAAAAATACCTAAACTGCAGTCAAATGAAAATGACGTTTTGCTAATAAGATTCATTTTTAACTCACCAGTGCCTGGTCCATACTTGGCACTGTGCGACCAGCTTAGTGCCTCCACAAACCCTAGATGGCGACAGAGAACATGAGCGTTGGCCAAGGTGAAGTCATCATCACAGATAGTGCCCCACTCTCCGTTGTAAAACACTTCCACTCTCCCTTCGTTGTGCTTGCGAGGGTATCCCGCCAGGCGAAACTTTATTTTTCCATCCTGAGAGGGTGAGGTGGTCTGGCTGAGACAGGAGGGCAGCCAGACGCCCCATAACAACATGGCAATCACCATATCCCACAATCCTCCTCTCAGCATGGCTAGAAAGTGTGAGAGGTGAAGAGAGCAAGAAAAACTGAAAGAGAGAGTATACATTAATTTGCAAGTTTTTAAAATGTGCATTTTATTACACTAAAATAAAGCAAATCTCACTTTAATCCTCAATGTTTCCTGTTTCCATGAAACAGAACAGGGCAGAAATAATATCAAACAATGTTTATATTAGAAAATGTAGGAATTAAATTCAAAATAGTGTAATTTTGACACATGTAAATCATGTGTCAAAATATATAAGATTGAGAAATATAACTCATTGTTTTTTTTCTATGTTTATGCATTTTTGTACATAATTTATATTTTTGTTATTTTTGTATTGTTAGAAACTTAAAATGGGCAATAGTTAATTGTATATTTCCACAGGAATGACAAAATATATCAGGCCAAGGAATGAAATCACAAAATTTTACTCATACTATCATGATTACATGTATTTTGTTATTTTCATATACTTAGAAACTTAAAATGTGCATAAGAATGACAGAATTTAGAGAGCATATTTCAGTTGTGGGATTTACACAAATTCCTGACAACAAGTTGGATCTTACACTGTAGCTACTAAAGCAAAACCTTCCTCAAATCTCTGAATATCGTCTTAACAGAGTCATGTTTAAGATGACAACACTCAAATAACAACTGAATTATAACCAAAAGTCCACAATAAAGTGAAGTTTAATGTTTACCAGATGTTTACTATATCCCATAAAGGAATATTGCATGCAACTATTTTAGTACTCTTCTTAAATGAAAAAAAAAATGTAATTTAAATTGAAATTCTAGAATAATTGCATTTTTGTATTTTAAAATAAAATGCATTTAAACAAAATAATCTAATTTCTATAGTGTCCATGCTCTACTGACCTGAATGCAGGAGACAGAAACTTGCACAGATTTTCTAATAAGTCAATTGGTTGTGGGCTCAGTTGAGATCTGATTGCACAGTTTGATCAGTCAATGGAAGTCCAGAGCATCAAGAGAAATCACAGGATGCCGTTGCTGTCTGCAAACAGAGAGAGAGAAAGAGCTGGCGGGATGCAGGGGTTGAGCTGGGACTGCCGTGTATCTGCCCGGTTCACAGGTTTATGAGGAGGCAGGTCTTATGTAGTGGTTTTTCTCAGAGTCACTGAATGGAAATCTCACGTCATGTCCTCTCCATTTCTGGCAGATCTGTTTTTGCATAATCTGGAAAAGACTCTCTGAGGATGCACGTGTGCAAGGAGTAGGAGGGATGATCAAGCATTTCTCCACTCTCTCCTTTTAATTTTCTATTTTCTATTTCACATGCATTCATGTAATTCTTGCATAACTTGTAAGCAATTTAAAGGTCACCCATTTTAGATAGCATCTTCTAGGTTTGAAATTAAACATCTCACCTGTGTAGCAAACAATTCTCACCTCCAACTCAAGGCAGCTGACAGCTGAGAAACAGCGTCATCTCTTGGTCAATAGCACATAGTGTAGAAGTTAATGCTCTACAAAGCAAACATGGTTTGACATCATGATTGATATTAAGAGACATTAAGTCGAGCTTTAAAGACAATAGGACAAAATTAACATTTTATATCTTAAGTATTTGTACTGGAGACCATGGTTGTTTATTTACTATGGTTTCAACGGTCATGAAAAAGCGCGCCAACTTATGACTTCTAAACTGTATAATTGATTGATATAAACAAATAACAATAAAATCAAAAGTTTCAACTCAAGCCAATATTTCGAATCAATAGCTGGTAAGTTTGTAACAATGTAACGTTACAGCCGGTCATTATCGCAAAATAATGCACCAATATTAATTAGTTAAGATAAATCTCTCAATCTCTCAAGGAGTTCGTCGCTAGTTTTAAATCATGTAGGTTTTCATTAGCGAAACAATTTTATTGATTAGTCAGCAGAATCATTTTACCTTGACAGACAATTAATTCGTGAATGAATCACTCTTAAGTCGGTTCTCGAATCAGTTTTGAATCGTTCGCGCGATTATCTACAGCTCGACACGCGGTGAATCATTCAGTTTCACTATCGACAAAACATTAAAGACAAACGTTAGAACATAGAAATAATCGCTGAATAAAGTGGTTATTTACCTTCAATCTAACCAAACTTGCCAATTACTTCGCACGTCTGTCAGCGATAAAGAAGACTGAATTCAACGCCTGCATGTGAAGCTTGTGAACGACTCTGTAGGCCTACTACAGGTAACATCCTAAACACATTTTGCAACTGAAAGACTGTTAGTACTCTTAAAATACCAGTTATATTAAAATACATTGATATTAGATTACTATATTGGACACGCACACAGCAAAAGGGAATATAACATTTCTGAAGATTTTTGATTTCTAAGAAATATTTATATTGACTGTTTTTAATATTTCATATACATATATCAAACAGAAAATATCTTATGTAGCAACATTGCTACGTATTAATTACCATGTAATTTGTGTAACTTTTCCTGACATTTAAATTCGTCTAACAACCTGTTACCGAAAGAAAATACAGTCCTTTTACATAGTAAAGTGTGTGTGTGTGTGTGTGTGTGTGTGTAGTACTGAATAATTGCCATACAGATTAATATTTGCATGATACTCCAACCCATGTCTACCAAGGTAAGAAAATGTCTACCAAGAATCTGAAAATTTCTTTAAAATGACTCTTGACTCTTTTTGCCCTTTCTTAAATGATGCATTGAGACAGTTTGATATGATTGACACCTGTTAAAGGCCTTGGTAAGGCAAGCTCATACTGAATTACCTGCCCTTTTTCAAATGTGTCCTGTCATACTGCCTCAAACCTTTTAAATCAGCTTGACAAGTCATGCTGACGACACCTTTCCTCTTCATTCATCTCAATGTGAAGTGTTGACTGCTGGTCTACAGAAACAGCGCTGTTGCTCTGCAGGAAGTCGTCTCACCCCAACCCGTAATTTAACAGCAAACGGGTGGGTGTCGGGGGGCCAGTGGCAGGCAGCGTCCCCTCTGATCGGCTTGTCTTCATTCCCCTCACACCGCCAAGGGAAAAGCAAGGCTGCAGCAAAGAGCTGTCATTTGCTGCTGTCAGTCACTGTTAAGTTTTGTATATACACCTTTTCAGGCCCAGAGATTTTTCAACCTCTGCTCTTGAGTGTTTTTTAACATTTTATTGAAAGTGATTGTAACAATATGTTTGAGCTGCTACATAAAAATCTCTTGTGCTGAATAATTGTGTTATGAAACAGAGTCGGGAGGACAAATAGTAAACAGCTTAAGACAACTAGATTTTTACACCTTTTTTAAACCAATGTAAGTCTTTGAACTTTTTTATCATTTTATTTTTTATCATTCAGCAGGAGTGGTATTTTAGTAATATGTTATAATATTTAATAATATTTTGCATTTGCTTTTATTTTTATATTTTCAGTTTTAGTACCTTTGCTATGTATAGTAATTTTATTAGTTTTTATTTTTAGTTTTTATATATTTAAATATTTAAACATTTTTAGTACTAACATTTACATTTAGTCATTTAGCAGACACTTTTATCCATAGCGACTTATAAATGAGGACAATAGAAGCAATCAAAACTAACAAAAGAGCAATAATATGCAAGTTATATGACAAGTCTCAGTTAGCCTAACACAGTACATGTAGCAAGGTTTTATATGCGTACATACAATAAAAAACAAGTAGATAGAATAGAAAAAGAATAGAGAAAGCTAGTGTTAGAGGCCTTTTTAAAAGAAAACAGGCAGTAAGAAAATGAATGTGTTAGACTCTATGTGAATGTCTTAGAGGGTCAAGTTTTAGTTTTTTTGTTTTTTTAAATAAAAAAAGAAAACAAATAGATAAAATAGAATTAGAATAAAGAATGCTAGCGTTAGAGGGTCAAATAAAGATAAAATAAATGAAAATTGAAAAAAAAAAAGATACTTAAATGAAAATGAGAAATGTTGCCTTGGCAACTAACTGAAATAAAATAGTTTTCATGTAATATTTACGTTTTAATTTATTTCAGCTTTATTTAAAATACCTGAAATTTATATTTTAATAATTTTTCTCATTTTAATCATTTTTACTTTGAGTTAATAACACTACCATCCAGCAGACAAAAATGGGTTCATTAATAGCACACACCTCTATTCAACAAGCTGCATAATTTGGGACATCAATTATGTCCATTGCTGTAATGATGCGTAACGAGTTACACGCCAAAGCACTTAGCGTAAGTGTTAGAGTTTTAGTGGTTTGATATTGTGTAGTCATGTCAAACACTGAGTGATTTCATAGGCTTGTGTTTGGTTGCATTTGATTGATGAGATCTGTTAAAATTCTGCATGTATTTGTAGTCAGTATCATATTAAATATGTTGTGCTATCATAAAATTGTGATTTAAAACATATTTCAGTGTCTGTACAGAAAACACATTTTTTAAAGAAACCAGAGCAGTAAAATGTCATTATTCAAGCATATCTACAAACGAATATGTAGCGGTGGTGTTCTTTCTTTGGTTGATAAAGCTGCACGTGCTGAGTATGACATTCAGTATGTCATTCACATGCACTGTGCTGCATACTTAGCAGGCGGTTTACCTCAAGACCGATTATTTCAGAAGGAAGGTCAATGTCACTTTTGTGCCTTCCACTATAAAATCAGCCACGCATGCTGTCTTGAGTGGCTGATGAACAGCTCTGTGTGCAGGTCTGACTGGTGTCTGTCGGAGTGTAATCATGGAGGGAAGTGTGGCTGTGGAGTCTCAGCGAAGTGTGATGGGCCGATGGAGTCGAAATTAAAAAAAGAGGATGAACAGTGTCATGGAGCGCCATTGAATCACCTGACAGGAGGGTGATAAGGTGAAGTCACACAAGGAGAGACCTTTTCTGAAAAAAAAAGGTGAGTGGTGATTATATGCAGTTCTAAGTGGTTTTTTATGTGGTTGCTAGGGTGTTTTGAATGGTTGCTTATTACGGGACCAAATCAAAAGGGCCTAGTTTCTATGATGTTCTGATCACTAGATAGATGGCTAGGGTCCTTTCAATGGAAGTCTATGGGTTTTTTGCCCGTTTTATCATCCACCAAGCCTGCTGAGAAAAGTAATTGTCATGATGCTTTCCTGAACATATTCCAAAGAAAAAAGGGAGATGAAAAGGCTGAATGAGGAAGAGAAAAAGAAAAACTGTGTGTAATGTCCACCGCTGTTATGTCCACATCCAGTGTTTTTTGTTGAAAGATCTGTTATTTTCAGCTTACCATACAATTACACAGATAGAGGCCAGCTACAGCATTAGAATTTTCACTGCCGTGCTCCAATTACCATCCTCTGCTCTGTTTGATTGTGGGTATTTGGCTGTGTACGGGTAAATCACTCGCCATACATTGTCAGAAATAGGCCTTAACATGGGAATCACATGCAAATGCTGAATATGACTGCAGATTAATTGTCCATTCATCAACAGAGGGTAGTATTTAGACACCACCAAGGCTGCAGTCTTCAGGATCGCAGTAATTACTCATTGTCAGCTCTCAGCCAGGTGATTAGCACCTAAAAACAATGGCCCTGCTTTTCAGTTTGTCCCTCGAGGAAGCCTGTTGTTCCTCAGGAGGGACAGTGTACCTAGAATGACAGAGATAAATAGTAATGCATTGACATTATTGTCATCCAGATCTCCTGAAAAGCCACGTGGGCTGCTGTCCTTCAAGAAAATGTCACCTCGTAGATGGATATGTTTTGATCCTTTTGATAAGGTTGCTCTAGAATCTACTATCTTTCCAAAGATCTTTTTAAAAATTCAACACTCGACCTGTAGCTTAAAAGCCTCATGCAACTGTTTCAGTGACCATATTATGGTTCAAACTTTCATTTTTCTCCCAAATTGTCATGCAAGTTTTGAATCTGTGTCTCTGACCAAGTGGTCTGTGATTTTGACCACATTTACAACCTTAATGTGGAAATACAAAATAACCTTCATTTTAATGCCATCTCATTTCCCTCTTTCCTAAGAAAGTGCTTTAAAACTTTTTCTCATTTTCTTCACGTTCAGTCCCTGTTAATTTCTTTACAGAGGTGTTCTTAAACAGAGGAAATGCAAGAAATGACAGAAAGGATGTTCAGTTATCCATCAGATTTTTTTCAAATTCTGCAAATGAATGAAATGTGTCAGTTAACAGAACCTCTCTATTATGTAAATGGTCATTTGCATTTTGCGGGGGTAAGTGCAGTTGATTCACACTTGACACACATTAAAATAAAGGTGTAAATGTATGCGGCTAAAAATATTCAGATACAATCCTAATACCAGATATAAGAGGTCACCAGCATTTGGAATGTGTACCATTTGCTAGTTATTTTTAGATTATCTGATTTGGTTACCCATCTGAATCATGCTAATCTAAAAAAAAATGAAAATATGTAAGTGCAATGGTGAAATGTTCCAGATAAGCTTGTAAATACTCTCCATCCAGCATTTATTTCAATATTTACAATGTTATTAAATCTATCAAGAAATAATTTTAAAATCTCACTCTGATTTGCAATCTGTTGTTCATTCAGAAATTGAAATACGTTTTAACAGAACTGGTTATTGTTTTACTGCTTATCTTTTCACTTTCAATGACAAACCTGACCTAATACACTTACATATGGCCCCTAGGTGGCGATATAGTCTACTGGGTGATTAATAAAGCGCACCTCTCTCTGTCTCTCTCTTTCTCCCTCCGTTTTAATGGTTTGGCAGAGATAATGTGAGAATTACAGCTAATCTGTGTTTATTCCCACAAGCCAATCACATTGTGTGCCTGTTCATTATTTACTGTGCTACAACATGCAGACATTTGAGTCCAACTCAATTACACCAGATAGTCATTTAGAGAGATCATTATTCTACACAACAGCATACACATGCACATAATTAAAAGAACAAACCAAAAATGCATTTCTCGTTTTCTTTTTCTATGGGTTTATAACTTATCCTTTGATGGTAATTATTTTTGGCAGCATGCTTTTACATTTACATTTAGTCATTTAGCAGACGCTTTTATCCAAAGCGACTTACAATTGGGGGATACATAAAGCGATTCTTCTTAAGAGGCAAACAGACACAGGAAGTGGTTGTAATACCAAGTTCAAATTAATGTAAATTAATTTTGTGTTAATTTACATTTTGTGTAAATTAATGCACCGCTGTCTCTTTAAAAGGCAGGACTGTGCGGCTACACCTCCACTCCGTCTCTCATTCTGTAGATGATGTCACTGTGGCTTCCCTTAGACCTTGGACAAATGATGTGGGTCTCTGTTTGGCGTTCCTCCTCTTTCCCACCCCTCTCTCTCTCTCTCTCTCTCTCCCAGTGTCTCCATCTCATACTCCACTTGCTCACTTCATCAACAGAGGGACAACAGCTGAGGAAACTTGATAGCATTCCCCCTCTTTCCCCCCCCTCTCTCTCTCTCTCTCTCTCTCTCTCTCTCCCCCCCCAGTGTCTCCATCTCGTACTCCACTGCTCTCTTCATCAACAGAGGGACAGCAGCTGAGGAAACTTGATAGCACTCCATCCCCTTCTCTTCTCCTCTTCCCTTTTTCTTAATCTCCCTCTCTTCTTCTCTCTATCCCTCTCTCATTCTCCAGCAGCGATGTAGTTCTCTCTCAAACTTTAACAGCTGTTTGGCAATGAAGTCTTGACTGAGATCCATCACGCCTGGACCTCTATGGATTCGTTCCCTGCTTCTTTTTGAGATCTTTCCAGAGTCGCCGCTCTCTTCATTCTGTCTTCTGTTTACATTGTCGTGTCGGTGGGTTTGGACCATGGCCATGAAGGAAACCATACTCCCTATCAGCGAGGTGTCGAGTCCGTACCCGGAGGTCGTGGAACTCAACGTCGGTGGCCAGGTGTACGTCACCAAGCGCTCCACCCTGGTCAGCGTACCTGACACCACCCTCCACACCATGTTCATGCGGTGCAGCCCGCATGAGTTGCCCCGTGACAGCCGAGGGCGCTTCTTCATCGACCGCGACGGGTTCTTGTTCCGATACGTGCTGGACTTCCTACGGGACCGCCAGCTCGTGCTACCGGAACACTTCCCGGAGCGGGAACGTCTTCAGCGTGAGGCCGAGCACTTCCAGTTGGGGGAACTGCTTAGACTTTTGGGCCCACGTGTAGCCAAGCAAGGCTCGCTCAATGACGAAGGCTGCCAGAGCGACATTGAGGAAAGTTCACAGAGTAGCGAGTTGGTAACTCGAACTGGAAACTGCGCCACCAACTACGCGAATTCCTCTTCTGCCCTGGACAAGAGGTCTGGGTTTATTACGATAGGTTATCGGGGATCCTACACAATGGTGAGGGATAACCAAGCTGATGCTAAATTTCGCCGTGTGGCACGGATCATGGTCTGTGGGCGTATCGCCCTGGCGAAGGAAGTGTTCGGAGACACTCTAAATGAAAGTCGAGATCCGGACCGTCCACCAGAGAAGTACACCTCCCGCTTCTACCTGAAGTTCACCTACCTGGAGCAAGCATTCGACAGGTTGAGTGAGGCTGGGTTCCAGATGGTGGCCTGCAACTCAACTGGAACAGCTGCATTCGTTAACCAGTACAGAGACGACAAGATCTGGAGCAGCTACACTGAGTACATCTTCTTTAGTAAGTGACAGAGCAGCTCTCGCAAACCTGCCTGTGCTGCGCTTTAATTTCCTTTTCATGTAGCCGAGTGTTCCCAAACATGTTCCCAAGGGACATGACATACGTTTCACAACCCAACCTAAAGCCTTTTCCCCACCAAAAAAGAAAGCATGCACTTTATTTTATGTGTGCATGCATGCATTTTATTTTGTGGTTTGTGTAGAACAGGTGTGACTTTTCACTGTCTGCTCACTGCGTGCTGTTTAAATCGAAGCATGCATACTTTTAAGTACCCAACATCTGTGGATAGTCAAATTATTTTTAATCTTTAATGAAGAAACGCAGGCATTGCAAGACATTCAAGAAGGAGTAATCAGCTTTAAATCATTGCACACTTGATCATTTGATCAATTTACAAGATTTTATAAGGACCATTTGCCAAAAGTTATTTTTGCATGCAGCTGGAAAAAGGCTCATATTTTAGTTTAGACTACTTTATAACAGCTAATAGGTTTCTCTAAAATCAAGTGCACTTGATGCCCCTTGGATAACTCTGATCTTTCTTTCTTTTAATTCGCAGTCTTCTCTTTCGCTATTCATCTGCAATCCCATTTCGCACCTTTAGCTTGTCTCCCAATCACACTCTTTTTTTCTTTTTTGAACACCTATCTACCCACACATGCTCTTTCTCCTGCTAGCTCTTCTTCAATATGTTGCGACTTTGATGCTGTAATTCATTGCAGTACATGTAAATGTGTGTCATAACTGGGACAGCTAGTGCCTCTGGCCTAACGTACTGAATAGAGAAGATAGTAAGGCACACTAGGCAATCCCACGTACCACTTGTGTCCAATCATAAAAAAGTCGAACAGATCAAAGCCTCCTCAGCCAATGTAAATGAGAGTTGGATTAAACTCAGGTTAGTCATTCTTAAATTGTACAGACTAGTGCTAATCCGCTGCAGGCTGATGCTTTCACACTGCAGTGACTGTGAGTTCACATTTTTACGAGGTGTCAACCAAAATGCAGTGCAGCGTGAGGTCTCTGACTGAGCTGATGTGATTGTGGTGGGCCGAACCGCAAGCTGGTTTGATTGATTTGTGATTGATTGGTAGCTGGTTAATGGTGTTTTTTAACCTGCCTTTCATTGAATTTGTATGCTCTTGAAACTGCTTGAAACATTTAAGCGTGTTTTAGCGGGTTTTGTGCATGTGCACATTTAAGCTGAGATAAGGCATAGCTGCATGCACAGGTAGAGAAGTGGGAAAACATGCTGATAAGGAAAAGAAGGATGGTCTAGGAGGAAGAAAAGTCTCACTTTGGTAGACTTAAGCGAGGTAATGGAACTTCAAGAGCTAATCCTACCGCTGCATGTTGCAGATAATGAGGCTGTGTGTGCATGTGTGAGAGAGAGAGAGAGAGAGTGTGAGTGAATGACTGCCTGTCTGTATTTGTCTTTCACTGTGTTCCCTATTAGGTTTTAAAAGATACTTGATGAAGATAAGATATCCGCTCTGTGAAGCTGCCAAATACTTTATTGACATAGTTGTTTAAAGATGATGCGTGCCGTTATTTTGATGTTAAATTATTTATTCTATTTCAACTCCAGACATATTCCGAATATTTAAGTGGGGTTTTTATGTGACAGTTCTTCTAAGTTTTGTGATTTTTTTTTTTACATTCATTTCCCTCAAATTTGGAACATGGTTATATAATTTCGCAGAGACAAATACTATTTTTTAGACTAGGATGCACATGCACCCCAGAGGTGATGAGATAAGATCCTCCAAAACTATAGGTGGCAGTGTGGAGAAAATCTCAGTTGAATCAGCAAGGAACAGAAATGAGAGGTAGTTTTCCGAACTTTACTTTTACCATGTATAATATTAAGCAGGGCTGGATTGGTAATCGGGCATACCGGGCATTTTCCCGGTGGGCCGACGCACTTAAGGGGCCGATAGAAGTTTTTTTATTTTTTTTTGCCGAGGACCATCACGCAGGGACAGCGAGCAGCCAGTGGCCCATTGGTTTGTCTCCTGTATTGACAGCGTAAACATCCAATCACAATGCGCTATAGACGGAGCGATGAAGAATTTTGCTCCGCCTATATAAAGATCGCTTCATTCCAACTTCTTCCTCGTCGGCTTTTCACACGTTTTCGTGCAGACGTTGCTGGGCGCGCTGGGCTGTCACGAGGTGTTCTTTAACAAGGGGCATGACTCGGTCAATCCTTTCTCTCATTTCCCGTACGTGCTTGACGATCCCAAACAGCAGTTCGAAGGGGGTGAAGCCTGTGGAGGCCTGTGGTACTTCCCGGACTCCAAAGAGCACGTACAGGATCATGAGGTCCCAGTTGCGCCCATCTTCGGCCACCACCTGCCTCAGCATCCGTTTGAGCGTCTGGTTAAACCTTTCAACCAAGCCATCCGTCTGCGGGTGGTAGACCGACGTCCTCAGATGGGTCAGTCAGGATTTCCTTTGGGATCCCGACTCGGCTGGCCAGCAGAAATAGCTATCGGGCAATGTTCTTGGTGTTTGCCGCATGAAGAGGAATGGCTTCCGGGTACCGGGTGGCGTAGTCCAGGATGACTAGGATGTGCTCATGTCCTGTTCGGGCCTTGGTATTACCAGGGTAGGTTGCACTAGGGTGACTGAACTGCCGTAATCCAACAAGGCTTGAACTGGTTTCCCCTCTAGCTTTACCATCCGGCTGGGGCCAGGGGAAGGTCCGTCTTGATGCAGGAAACACCCGGCCATCCAGGCTCGGGCCATCGGTGCTGGGGGTTCAGTGGGCATTGGCTCATCGACGAGTTCGTCGCCTCAGCCAGCTCGACCGCCTCAACGAGACTGCCGATGTCCTGTGGATTCTTCATAATGACCGGGCGCCTCAGCGGGCGGGGCAGCGCCCGTAAGAGCCGATCGACGAGGACTTTCTCCGCTACCTGGTCGGTGGTAGGTGAACCGGAGAGGAGCCACAGGTGAGCCAATCGGGCAAGTTGAGCAGCTTGAGCTCTCACCGTCTGCCGTTCGTCATAGGTCCATTGGTAGAATTGCTGCACTGCACACATGTGAGACAGGCCCACCTGGGCTAGAATTTCGGTTTTTAGCTCGTCATATTTTTCATTCCTGGGCTCCTGCAGGGCATAATAGGCCTGCTGAGCTTCTCCGGTGAGGAAGGGGGCGATGATGCGAGCCCACTTCTCCGGTACCCACCCCTCTCGGGCCGCGATAACCTCAAAAGTATGGAGGTAAGCTTCGATGTCATCGTGCTCGGATAACCTGACGAGGTACTGGTGAGCCTTGACGGGCGATTTCGGGAGGGGCATGCGCCCCGCCACGCTGCCTGCAGTTGTTCCACGACCAGGTCAGTATACTCCTGTCGTGCAGCCAGTTGCTCAGTAAACTGCTGCTGGCGGCCCGAGAGCTCAGTCAGGCGGCGGATGATCTCTTCCATTTGTCCCTGGGGGAGAGAGCGGTTCTCCTAGATGAAACACAGAGATCGTTAGAGCAACCTGGCGTTACAAGTCTGTGTCTCAATTCCCCTGTAGTGCCTGCATTCTCCACCATATGTCGCGGGGTGAATGAGAACACAGACTCAGTACTGCTAGAAAGTGCCACGGAGGGTGATTTATTGACCCACACACTGATCACACGTGCTCAGATGAATGGTGCTCGGTGCAAGTCTCCACTCGGTGCTCATGGGGTGAAGTGCCGTGGTGAAGATCCCTGTCCTGGGGTGCCGTCGGATTCTGTGAACAGGGAGAAACAACCATTAATTTCGCCTGGAGCTCCGTTGCAGTCCTCCTGTAATGCCTCTTCTCCTGGCTTTTATGGCCGGCGGGAACGAGCTCCAGGTGCGCCACTCATCACGCACAGGTGTTGTGATTGTGTGATCAGTGTGGAAGCGGCGTTTCCAGGGCAATGCTGATCTGGACCCGGGATACTCACCACAATATATATATATACACACAGTGGTGGCCAAAAGTGTCAGTAGGAAATATCAGTTTACATTTCCAAACATTCAATTCGCCATTAATTGTAATAAACCAATGAGATTTTTGTATGCACAAGGAGTCTGACAACAGCCAGTGCTCCACACAGAGATCTGATCTCACCATCATTCAGTCTGTCTGAAATTACATGAAGAAACAGAACAAACTGAGACAGACTAAATCCAGAAGAACTGTGGCAACATCTCCAAGACACTTGTAGAAACCTGCCTGCAAAGCTACAGTACTACAGTAGTTTTAGGCGCTTGTGTAAAATGCTGTAAAGTGAGGATGCTTTCAAAAATAATGTCATAAATATATTTGATTTATCAATTAACTTCTATTAACTAAATTAAATCTAAATTAAAAAACAATTTGGTGTGACCATCCTTTGCTTTTAAAGCAGCTTTTGCCCTCGGTGCACTTGCTCATAGTTTTGCAGGTAGGTCTCTTGAAGCATCTTGGAGATGTTGCCAGTTCTTCTGGATTTAGTCTGTCTCAGTTTGTTCTGTTTCTTAATTTCATTCCAGACAGACTGGATGATGATAAGATCAGATCTCTGTGTGGAGCAGTTGTAACAGGCTATATTATGATGTAGCATCTATTTTTAATGCACCTATTAACGTCAAACCTTACCTGCACCAATGCATTTTACATTTTTGTTACAATTTAGGATTCACTTGAGGTTTGACTTTGTTTTTGAAGTATTTCCCTAATTTTATTTTTAGTTTAAATTTGTTTATTATAGAGATGGATAAGGGGTCCCCCTCTCTCTCTCTCTGTCTCTCCGTCACACCCCTGTCAGTTTATATTGTACCAATTTGCGTATGTGATTGCAGAGGCAGAAGTGACGGAGAGCCTGAAGAAAGGAGATGAGAAGTAATAAGTGAGAGAGAATGAGGGACTCGGTGTGTGTGTTTGGGCTGAGGGGGTGGAACGGTCACCAGCGGTCCCGACTGTAGTGGGGCTGTCGTTCAAGCTTAGCGTGATGTGTGTCCGCCCCGCAGGAGCATCAACACCGGCTCCTTATCTCTGTCAGGATGCTAATCACAGCTCTGGAGGCTCA